AAATGTTTATGAGTTACTTATCATTGTTCTGTCGCATCTCAGCAATTGTACTATATGATCTCTTTTCTTTTTACAGGTTAGATGAAATTCAGAAAGGTTTGACAGTGCAGTTTGAAGAAGGAATATATTTAAGGTTTTATATTGGTTACATTTTGTCTTGATCAAATTATTCATATTGATTTTTACTATGTAGTTAATTCTCTGTTGCTGGTGAGTAATACCTTATGGAAGCTTAGCAACGTTTATTACAGTTTGAAATACAATTCATTATTGAAATGTGGCTCAAGGCGTTTTCGAGAGTTAGTTTAAAAAATTTTAAAGTGATTGAGGTCAAGCATTTGTGTTTGTTGCGATCGCACAGCGTGCATTTGATGCGTTTGATAAGGTTGACACGAAGTTGTATTTAAACCACTTAATTGTTTTTTATTCATATTTTAGAATTTTTTTCTTGCTTTTTTTCCATTTTCGTATGTTTTCGGTGAGTGCAAGAGTAGCGGCAAAGCGAAATTTTTTTGGTGTCGTTGGCGGCAGCTGCAGGTATTATAGAAGAGGGAGCGTGGAAGTGGGACGAAATGATCAATGTTGTTTCTTACTGTTGGCTAGTCAGCGTGTGCTTTGTGTTTTGTGTAGGCTTGTGGGCAAGGTGACCAGCCGTGAGGGAGTGGGAAGGAAAATTGTGTTCCGAAGGAGTCAGTTTTTTTATTTTTTAGCTTTTGAAAACTTAAAAATTTGTAGTACACACAACACACCATGAAATATAGCATTAACTGTAGCTGTGAAAGTGTCACTGATGAAGATTGCGGAAAATAAATGGTGGAAAATTGAGAGGATAATAAAACTGGGATTAGCATTACTGATGTAGAAGTTATAGACATGGAACACTGAATTTGGTGAGTTGTAAAGGAGCTTTTTTGTCAAGTAGAAAAAGTAGTACACGAACTGCGCATGAAAGTTAAAAGCTCACAGCATACTTCTACAAGTTCGTTTTGACTTTTTTATCAGTTTGGTTCTCCGTAATTCTTTTCCCGAGGATGCTAGTTTGTAGTTTCCCTTCAAGAAGTAGTATAAGGATTGAGTGGAGCGTTCAGATGCTGGCATAGTGTTTTCTTTGAAAAGCCAGTATTTTTTTAGCGCCATCCCAAAAGACTTTTCTAAAAGTTTAACGCTGTGGAATATCATAAAAATCTTACTTTTGGTCAGAATGGAATTTCGTTTATCGGTATGTAATTGTACAGAATTTACGGAATTACGGCGCAGTTTGGAGCATCCTTTCTAAGAGGTACTGCCAGTGTACTGTTGAATGAGCTGACCCTTGCTTGACGTAAGAGCGTTTTAAAGTCGGCGTTTCTTTTTTTTGATCCATTCATAGTCCAGAACTTAGATTTGGTGTACTGTCTTTGTGTTTTTTTTGACAAGCAGCGCCAGAGCTTCGTTCACCTCTGTGCTAGCAGTTTCAATTTCCTCTACTTCTGCCGGATTCAATCCTGGCTTTCTTGACGCCTGAATGTATTGCTTAAGTATGAGGAGTGCTCTCCATTGCCAGTTCATCGGCAGTCCTTGGGTTTTCTTGATCGCTTTAGAAAACCATCCCCATGAGAACTCGTACAAACCAAGTAATTGAGGTGTCAAAAGCAGTTCAAACATATGATAGTTCTGCGAGTTCACTGCGAAAATAAATATCCAGTTTGTGTAGAAGAAAACTTCATTGTCTTTCTCCAGACCGCTTAGTGCTACCAGTGGCCAACCGCACGCGATTGCTTGAAATGGTTTTCTGAATGAATAGGGACGGCCTCGTAGCATTCTCCTGACTGCAAAATGAACTACCCCATTCTTGTGAGATCGCAGTTTTTCTCGGGTTTCCTCATCAAATGTTTCCCACAGTACTTTGCACTCCTGAAGTTACAGAGGATTTAAAAAGTTGCGACGAATATTACTACTGTGAAAAATACTTAAAATTGTGGAGCTGAAGTAAATGATGTCCGAAGAGTGCGGTTCTGGCTACTATTTCTAACCCACTAACAAAATAGAGTTTGTACGTAATTTTAATTTTATTCAAGATAATGCATCTTAAAAACTAACGCACTTTTGAAGCAAAGTTTGAGGTCAGTGGAGAAAGTGACTCATTTTTTGTCGGAATAACTCGTCGCAGAAAAAAGACTGCAGCTGTCATGAAGTGAAGGGCGAATGTCATTTAGTTACCGGATAATCAGGTTTTTATATAATTTTTTGACATTGGGTAACTTACCGTGTACATAGCGTTGCACGCACCAAAGATAAATGCTTCCAAAGGGTCATTGAGGAACTTAAAAGAATAGCTGGTTGTTTTTTTCCAGTCCAAAGCACCCTCATCTGTTACTTTGATCCACCGGGGATCAATAGTAACTTTTATGCATTGATGTTTATTCACAAAGATTTTGACGCTTTCACGCAGCTCCTCGATTCGCCTGGTCGCTGTTGTACTCAAACAACTTTTTATTGAGCAGTAGTTTTCATCAGGCAGAATCCCGAAATGGCGTATGCATAGTGTTTCTAAGGAACAGACTGATGCCCTTGTATCGCCGTACCAAAACATCTAGTTTTCCTTTAAATAGCAAACAGTAAATTATCTGACCTACTATTTCTGATCTAAGTTGCTCAGAGGAGAGAAGTAGGGTGCTGGTAGAAAAATGCTATTACCTCTTTGATTTTGTGGCCGCCTTGGCAGTCCGCAGTTCGACAAGGTGCCAAACTTTCTGGAAGACCAAATTTCCACTATACTTGTGCCGTCTTATGCTGAGACTGAAGGCTTTTACTGTTCTTCCTATGAGGTCAGTGGGTTTTCGATTAGCAGGACGTCCAGTCTAAATAATAGTGCAAGAACAGCAATTAGGAGTAGATGATAAAACTGAGTAATAACAATTAAAATATGGTAAAACCAACAGAATCGTTAATGACCATCCCAAAACAGTCTTTATCTAAAGAAGTTGGTTGAAAACAACTTTTGTGTAGCACGCAGCTACGTCTGATGAGAAATCTGATTATGTGTTGACGAAACTGGTCTCACTAGGTTTGTGCGGCAGACGTGTTATAATCTTCCAGTCAACTTTCTTTTATCTTTGAAATTAATCGTACGAAAAGCAAAACAGTTTTTCATCAACTGATTTCTATCAGCATCGGAGGGTTGGTAACAAAGAAACATAAGCGGGAAGAAAAACTGGTAGCTTTTCAGACGCTTTCAAAGTTTAAAAACGTTTTCTGTACTTGGACTGGTAGGTTATTCGCGATGTTGTTTTTCTTTTAAAAACATAGCAATATTAAGTGAATACAATTTTTTCCAAATAAGCCTCATTTCGTGTACTTTGAATTGTTGTCGCATTTGGTCGGCGGTCTTTAAGCGCCAATAAAGGCTTAGTGTAAGTACTGAAAAAGCCACCGAGTCCTTTGCTGGGATTATGGTGGCGACGTAGGCAGCCGGCGTAACAATGGAATCTTTAAATTTCTGTAGTCGGAATATCGCTGTACTTTTTTTTGCGTACTTAGGGATAGAAATAAAAAAATTAACATGCATAAATCTTTTTTTCTGATAGTCTTTTTTATTTCAAAGTCTCTCGTATAGAAGATGGGTTTCACTTACACGCGAAGCCAAGACTGTAGAACTAGGGGGTGAAATGGAAAATGGGGAATCCTGATGAGCAAGATTTATTGATGAATCAAGATTAGTTTCTGTATAAAAATTGATGAAATGTCTCAAGTATGAATTACAGGTTAGGTTATACTCGTGGGCAATGGTTTGGCATTGAAAGTGATAAGAATGCTGATTGTTATTGTCGTTTAGGGTTATGAACGGATAATCGGAGTTGTAAGAAAAAGAGTACAAACAAGAATTGTGAAATAAAAAAGCGGGAAGTGCTTCTTTATTTCAGAAATCAGGATACTTTGAAGATGGAAGCGACAGAGGAAAGTCAAAAGTCCAATTACAAAAGAAAACTGTTTGATCCAACAGCATTAGGCAAGTTTTTTGATTGATTCAAATACTCAAACGCCAGTAGTTCGATGGTACAGTTTCGTTTTTAATTTTCAGTGAAAGGGTTAGGAAATGCTTTTAGTCAATTTGAACAACATTTGAGCAGCATCTACCAAATAGGAAAAAAGGTGCCAAAAGTTGCTAGGAGAGAAAGTTGGTGGAAGTGGCGTCACAATTGGGGGAGGTTTGCTAAAAAAAGAACACTGAACTGACCAGTCACTGAATTTGATGCCAGTGATACACTTTCAAAACCCCAGAAACCTACTTGTATGGAGTGAG